TGTTTTTGCCTACATGTATGTCTGTCTGTGTGAGGATGACAGATCTTGGAATTATAGTTGTTAGCTGTCATGTAGGTGCTGGGAATTGAACCTGGGTCCTCTGGAAGAGCAGAGAGATCTCCAGCCCCTAAAATTAAAAAAAAAAAAAAAAAAAGTTTCCCCCCAGACAGGGTTTCTCACATTGGTGACCAAATCCAGGGCTTCGAACTTGCTAGACAAGCTCTGTACTATTGAACACATCTCCAGTCTTTATTTTTATATTATTTGATAGTTTTGTATGTGTTTGAGGCAGTGTCTTCATTGTGCATCCAGGGTACAGAACTCTGAAGGATAGGATAATGGGTGTTTGTCACCAATGGTACTTGTTGTAGTGAAAGATTTTGATTTTCCATTCTGCATGTCAAAATGGTTTACAAGCCTCATGGTCTCCCCCCCCCCCTTCTGAAGATGAGTGGGAATTTTTCTTGTTTTCCTTCCTGAGGGTGATAGCTTTTGAGGAATCACCTTTCCTGTAGGGCTCTCAGCAGTAGCTGCTGGGCTCTTCTGCCTAAAAACAGTAGTTAGAATCAGTCTATACACGTTGAATATGAATTGCACAATGAGTGTATATTTCCAGCAGGATGAAGAGGTGGAGGCAGGTGGATGGATCTCTTGAGTTTTCGGCCAGCCTGGTTTACAAAGAGTTCAGGGCAGCCAGGGCTACACAGAGAAACCCTGTCTCGAAAAAACCAAACCAAAAACCCCTCCTGGGGCTGGAGAAAATGGCCCAGAGGTTAAAAGCACTGGCTGCTCTTCCAGAGGACTGGGGTTCATTTCTCAGCCACCACATGGTAGGTGGCAATTTTCTGTAATTTCAGTTCCAGGAGACCTGACACTCTCACATCTCTCACAGATATACATACATACATGCAAGTCAAACACCAGTGCACGTTAAAAAAAAAATAAATAAAAAGAGGGATCATTAAAAAGTTAAGAAAAAGGGAGTTGTTTCTCAATTTGGAAGGTAGAGGTATACAAATGGGGTATTTGGGGTTTGGAAAAATGGCTCAGTTGATATCCTAGTACTGTGATTAAAGGGTGGCATTATGCCATGTTTTATTTTTGTGGGCATGTGTAGAGGACATCGGGGTATGTAGACTGTTGTAGATACTGGGAAGCAAACTCTGAAAGAGCAAGAGCTCTTTCTTAATCCTGGACCCTTATCTCTCTGGAGAGTGATTAAGTGATTTACAGTGTTACAGCAAGACCACATACTAGAGGTAGTTAGAAGCTGAATGAGTTCCATTGTGCTGCTCTAAGGAGACCAGGTGTAATCCACAGGTGAAGGAAACTGTGCTCTCTTCCTGGCTGAAGGCACAGTCTGAAGGATGGCATTAGAGAAGTGTTGTGTTGGTTTGGTAGTTGGATACTGGACAGAGTAGTTATATGACTGACTGGTCAAGTATGTTCCTAATTAACTGCATGCAAGGACTGCTGCCATTCCCATGAAAGAGGGCTGAGGAAGGGTGCTTCTCAGGGCAGGGATTGTGTTCTTCCTTGCTATCTTACCTAATTCCTGGTGCAGGAACTCATCAGAGGAGAGAAGTAACCAAATCTCCCCAAGTGCATTGTGGTCTAAGAAAGCAGATGTAGCCAGTCCTTAGGTCAAGAGGTACCTGATCTCTGCCTCAGAGCCTAGTGACCTTTTTTCATAGTTGGAGGCTATTAGGTCATTTCCAAGCATTCTTTTCTATATAATTTTTTTTTTTTTTTTTTGAGAATGACACTCCCTCTTTCCCCACAGGACAAGCTTTCTCTATCTCTGTACTGGAATTTGCTCTGCAGACCAGGCTGGTATCTTAACTGAGAGATCCTATTGCCTCTCTCAGCCTCCGCCTCCCAAGTGCTGGGAGTGCACCACTACCCTGCTGGAAATGACCTCCCGCCACTCCCCCCTGCTCCATTTTCTCTGTTTAACAGCTCTGGCTGTCCTGGAACTCCACTTTGTAGACTATATTGGCCTGAAACTCAGAGATCCATTTTCCTCTGCTAGCTGGGCTTTTAGGTGTGAGCTACCACTATCCAGCTGGGAATGATTCTTGAACAGTTTCTGCATAAGGTCCTGCCCTACACATACAAGCCAGTGGCTGGCTACCAGAAGTTTTTTCTGAGTCAGTGATGCTAAGAAGGAACTACCTCTCACCCGTTCTCTCACTTTTCACTGTGATTGGGTAGTGTTACGGACTGTAATTTTTTTTTTTTTTTTTTTTTTTAAACAGGATTTGTTCCAACAATCTGTTAAAACATGGTGGATTACTATGAAGTTCTGGGCGTGCAGAGACATGCCTCACCTGAGGACATTAAAAAGGCGTAAGTATTTTCATTTCTGAAATGATATTCTGTACCATGGTCCATTGGTAATTGGATAGTGTAGCTTGTGTCATCTACTAAACCCTTTATTTTGGTTTCCTTTTTAAAAAGTAAAATTGTTTTCTGTGAATGTTTTAAAAGAATGTGGTTGGCACTTAGGAAGTTGACCTCACATGCATGTACACACATAAGGGTGAGAAAAGAAAAACTTGATAACAGACTCTTGTTAAAATAAGAACATCTGTATAGCTGGGCATTTGTGGCACACAACTTTAATCCCAGCAATCGGGCGGCAGAGGCAGGCAGATCTCTGTGAATTCGAGGCCAGCCTGGTCTACAGAGCGAGTGCCATGATGATAGGCTCCAAAGCTATACAGAGAAACCCTGTCTTGAAAAACCAAAAAAAGAAAAAAAATAAGTCTGTCTTTGCTTGCTAGAGGCCCTGGGTTTCATCCCCACTTCCTGGTACCATCTATCTTTACTCTTTGACACTTTATTGTGGCCACTTCCCCGCCTCAATTCCAACTCAGGTCTGTTGTTTCTACTGAACTGTATCTGAAACACTTCACCATGATTTGTTTTAAATGTTGGTGTGTAGTATCAGTTGAGTCTTGGCGCTCTGGTTTATTTCTGTTGTTGTGATGAAAAATATCACAGTAGAAAGAAACAGTAGGAAGTCCCCCCCCCCCATATAGACAAGCCTGGTGGTGGTGGTTGTGGTAACCCCCCTTTAGTCTCAGCATTTGAGACAGGTGGATCTCTGAGTTTGAGGCCAACATGGTCTATAGAGTGAGTTCCAGGACAGCCAAGGCTACACAGAGAGACCCTGTCTTAAATAAAACAGACAAATAAAATAAACAGAGGAGCAAAGTCATAGTCCATCGTTGTGGGAAAGATACAGCAGGGTCCATAGTTCTGTGTTCTTGCCTGTGTCCAGCTTGATTTCTCTGCAGTTTAGGACTCTTGTGTGTGGAAGGCTGCTGCCCCTAGTATTCCCATGTCAATTAAATTATTAGAACAGCACTCCACTGAAGCTTTTATGTAAGTTGTGCTATGACCAATAAAAACACAGGAGTTAGACATTGGGGTAAAAACCTGATAAAATAAAATCGACAGAGATGACCAGCTGACCTGCACCCCACACTTCCAGATAGAAAAGAGGGTAAAAATATCCAAGTTCCTTCTTTTTCCTGTGCATCTGTGTTCCTGCCTTTTTTCTTTGGCTAATTGCAGTCAGTTAGTGGCTCACTCTGCCCCCTAATTCAAGTTAACTTTATTCAGTGTCATCACATATTCTGCAACATTTCTCCCATTGTCTAAATAGAAAGGAAAGGTGTAGATGGAAGTTTCTGTTCTGCCCAGTCCTGTAGCCATTCAGTCCCAAATAAACACACCAAGGCTTATATTAATTATAAACTGTTTGGTCTATGGCTCAGGCTTATTAGTAATAACTCTTAGTTTTAAATTAATTCATAAATCTTACCTATGTTTAGCCATGTGGATTTGGTGCCTTTTCTCAGTAAGGCATTCTCATCTTGCTTCCTTTGTGTCTGGCTGGTTTGACTGGTCCCTGTATGTCTCTCTGCCTTTCCTCTTCCCAGAGTTCTCCTAGTCTGGTACCCTGCCTATACTTCTGTGTGGCTACTGGCCACTCAGTGTTTTATTAAACCAATATGAGCAGTTTACAGTGAACAAGAGCATTATCCCACATCAGAAAGGTTTTAGCCTCTAAAATTGTATGTATACAAGAAGAACAATTATCAGATAAGAATTACATTCACAATGTCTAGTCCATTTGCATTTGGCAAATTTGGAGAAAATGCCCTTACCAATGTTTTATACCTAGACCACTTTCTATCATATTGTATTACCAGCCTTTCCTTAAAATAATTTATTTATTTATTTATTTATTTATTTATTTATTTATTTATTTTGTATGCAACATTCTGCACACCAGAAGAGGGCACCAGATCTCATTGAAGGTGGCTGTGAGCCACCATGTGATTGCTGGGAATTGAACTCAGGACCTCTGGAAGAGCAGTCAGTGCTCTTAACCTCTGAGCCATCTCTCCAGCCCCCCTAAAATATTCTTTTAGACCTTAAAATATTTAAACTTTTTTTTTTTAAATGTCTCTCAACCTTATAAACTTTACATCTCAGCTGGGCGTTGGTGGCACACGCCTTTAGTCCCAGCACTTGGGAGGCAGAGGCAGGCGGATCTGTGAGTTGGAGACCAGCCTGGTCCACAAGAGCTAGTTCCAGGACAGCCTCCAAAGCCACAGAGAAAACCCTATCTTGAAAGCAAAACAAACAAAAAACAAAAACCCCCATAACTTTACATCTCTTTTTTAAAGTTTCTTTTTTGAATTTGGTAACAAGGAAAATAGTATTAACTACCTAGTTTTCAACCCCGTAAGAGACCCAAGAAGGATAAAATATTACCTGAGTAAACAGGAACTGCAGAGGAAAACAACTTCCCAAACTATAGAAATGACAGAAACAGCTGGCTGCCTGGACAATCCTCCCAAGGTTCCTCTGCAACGTTGGGGCATCCATCTTTGGCCTATTGGCCTAGAATATCTATCTGACAGATTTCTGTGAGGCAGAAATTTGGAAGGACTATCGTGCCTTATGTTGGCAAAGTTCAGCAGCCACCTTCGTTGGCCAGGGCTGTTTCTCGCCGAGAGGCTAACTACCACAATGAAAGCAAACATCATATGGAGGTTCTTTGCTCATCCCCCCTTTTGAAGTAAATTGGTGCTGCCAGGAGCAGACGTGTCTCACATGAAAAGCCTTATGTTATTAAAACATTTTAAATGCCATATTCTGTAGACCTCTGAAGTGTTTGAAGACCATCTATCTAAAATATGCATCTGTTTGGTTTTGAAAACATGCCCAGCATGGCTACAAAGTTGATTGTTAACGGATTACTAAAACCTGCATTTCTTTGGGTGGGGGTGGGGGTGGGTTCTTTCTCTGTAACAGTCCTGGCCTGGAACTCACCGAGATCCTCCTGCCTCTGCCTCCCAAGTGCTGGGATTAAAGTTGTGTGCCACCCTCTCAGGCTGGACCATCTTAACTAACTTCCTTGAAATTGTCTGAGCAGTTTGTAGTCCAATGCTGATCTTGGGGTGATGTTTGTCAGCTTAGTGGTGTTATCTCAGTCTAGGTGGATTCATTGTGACAGGGCCTCATGACATCTTGTACACCTCAAATGTCATTGCCAGGAATGGTCACGATTCACTGCAGAAAACTTAAACATTTTAAATTTAATGTGCATCAGATCTCCAAAAGGTTAAAGAATCACAATTTATTACATAACATCCGGTGTACACAAATTTAGTTCCTAGTTACCTGATTCATACTCAAGCCGGAAAATGTGTACAGGAAGCTAGATGAAGGTTATTTCTAGAATTAGTACTCTATATGACCATTAATGTCATTATATATTAAGGATATATATATTAAGGATACAAACATATATATCCTTAAATTATTTGAGATAATATTTGTACCTTAAAAGTTTTAAAGAGCCAAAATAAAACCAAAGGATTCTGAGATTGGTGGCAATAGAATAGTCCTTTTTTTGTTTTGTTTTGCTTTTTGAGACAGGGTTTCTCTGTGTAACAGTTCTAACTGTCCTGGAACTTTGAAGACCAGACCACGCTGGCCTTGAACTCAGAAGTCTGTTTCTGCTACATTGCTAGGATTGTACATTCTGCTACAGTGCTAGGATTAAAGTCGGGCACTACCACCGGACCTCCTTTTTGTTTTTTTCTGCCCCGTACCATGAGACATGAGACAGATTTTGCATTTTTCTTTAACAAGCATGCTTGGGTTTATATTAGAGACAGAGAGAGCCACACTCCAACTCTAAAAGCCAGCTTTAGTTTTTAATTGTATTGGAACCACAAAAGGACCATTTGCTTTATATGTCTGTAGAGAACAGCAGATAAAAACTTTGGGTGAAATTCTACCATATTGGAGGTGAGCTATACTATTAGGCCAGTTTGCTGTTTTTCTTGGGACAGTTTTTTCTTAGTGGTCTGATTTTTTTTTTTTGGAAGGTTTTTCGAGACAGGGTTTCTCTGTGTACTCTGTGTAGCTTTGGAGCCTATCCTGGCACTCTCTCTGGAGACCAGGCTGGACTCAACTCACAGAGATCTGCCTGCCTCTGCCTCCCGAGTGCTGGGATTACAGGCGTGCGCCACCAACGCCTGGCTGGTCTTAGATTCTTTAGTTGGATGGAGTCCCTTTTTTGGCAAGTTATGTCTTTGTTAAAGCAAAAAAAAATTTTTTTGTTTTTTTTTTGGCAACAGAAAAAGTCGTCCTTCTGTCCCGTTCTCCCCCCCACCCCCCCAACTCATAGAGATCTGCCTGCCCTGCATCCCTGGTGCTGGGATTAAAGGCCTGTACCACCACCAGGCAATTTCTGCTGGGTCTTTAGTTTTTTCCTCCATGTGGCAATAATATCCATTCCAAAATACTATCTTCTTGTTGCATAATAATTCTTGTGGGATAATGTGTAGAAGGTAAAATAACCAAGCTCTGGGTTCAAGTGATCCACATGTTCATTCTTTAATTTCTTTTCTACCAAAGCCAATTATCTCTCAGCCTTAGCTGATAGTTATCTAGGAGTATTTAAGTCCTTATCACCTTGTAAGGTTTGAAATAAATTACTTAGTTATTGAATTTTAATCTAATGGTGGGCTATGGCCAGTTAATCTCCCAGCAATATTTGAAAACAATTAAGAGTGCTAAGATAGTTTTATTTATTTATTTATTTTAATGATTTATTTTTTATTTTATGCTCATTGGCATTCTGTGGTGTGTCTGTGTGAAGGTATCAGATACTCTGGAACTGGGGTTATAGACAGTTGTGACCTGCCATGTGGGTGCTGGGAATTGAAACCCAGGTCCTTTGGAAGAACAGCCAGTGCTCTTAACCACTGAGCCATCTCTCCAGCCCCCCCCCTTTTTTTTTCTTTTCTTTTCTTTTTTTTTGAGACAGAGTTTCTCTGTGTAGCTTTGGAACCTATCCTGGCACTCGCTCTGGAAACCAGGCTGGCTTCGAACTCACAGAGATCTGCCTGCCTCTGCCTCCCGAGTGTTGGGATTAAAGGCGTGCGCCACCAACGCCCGGCTTACCCTTGTCTTTTGAATCAGAGTCTCAGTGTCTATAGCCCTATGTGTCTGGAGCTCACTATGTAGAATGTAGGTCACGTGTTCTCAAGGCACAGACCCTTCTATGTCTGCCTCCTAGTGCTTGGGATTAAGGGTGTGTACTACCACACCCAGCTGTTAGTTACTAAAGTTCTGTGGACTTCATATGTGCTCAGTATTCACCCATTTCATCTTTCAAGGTATCGGAAACAGGCACTTAAATGGCATCCAGACAAAAATCCTGAAAATAAAGAAGAGGCAGAGCGGAAATTCAAACAAGTAGCTGAGGCATATGAGGTGTTATCAGATGGTAAGTAAACCTGAGCTTGTGAAGGGTTCTTAAGAGGGAGTCAGGATAGGCCTTTGCAGAGATAGCAGAATACAGACACAGGATGTGTTTACTCCCAGCTAGAGTGCTCCTCCCTCCCAAAGGCTTTCATTTTCTTGATGACCTTGCATCTGGTACAGTTAACCACTAGTGCTGAGGAGCTATAGGCTCTGAAAAGTTTTACTAGGGCTGGAGTTGAGAGGTTTCAGCTCCTGAATGTCTTGGCTTTATCTCCATTTTTCTACTGCAGCAGGACCTTATTAATGGGAGTTTACTACTTGGATAAGGAAATCAAACATTCTGCTCCAGTTTAGTCTTTGATTAGGCACTAATTAGGTGCCTTTGTGAAGATGGGTGAAGGATTTAGCTGTCAACTAGAGGCAGACTTCAAGTTTGAGTTTGTGTAAAGGAAAGATTTTGCATCTACAGGGCTGGGGCAGTGCCAGAGACTGGAAAAGTACTGCCCACATCCTAAGTGCTGTCCTGCTGGGTGGCCTGGCATGAGTCAAGGCAGAGGCTTGACTTTAAAAGGTTAGGTACTGAGTCACTGACCACAGGAAATAACAAATAGGTTACTATCTTTAAGAATGTGTTTCTAGACAGAACCTGAGGTAAAACTCACTGAGCCAGATTATTGGCATACAACCCCTTGCATAATCTATACTTTGTCATGTCCCCTTTTCCCCACCTTTAAAGGCAATCTTGGAAACCTCACAAGTTTGTTTGTTTTACTTAAGATGCTGATAGCTGAAATCCTACAAATGTGGCAAGGCCTTAACTGTTGGGACTTTTGAGGTCCAGTGGCTGCAGCCTGGGCCTCAGCTTGTGTCACTGTTCTTACAAGGACTCTTTTATTCAAAATGGGGTTGTTTGTTATTTTGTTTCCCCTATTGTAGAAGGAGATTGTTGGGGAAACAGAAGGATGTATACAGGTGGCAGCAGGGCCTTCTGGATACCAGCACAGTACCTCTGAGGTGCACAGGCAGTCTCCTTTATGGAGTGCTAACCCGCTTTCCACTCTACCCTTAACTTCCTCTGGACTTTGTAGGAAGTCAGCTTTAAGCATTTGTAGCACTTAAAATAAGTTTGCCAACTGGCCTTTCAGGAGAGAGGGGAGAGAGTTAAGTAAGACTACCTCTTTTCTTTTAAAGTCAGGGTCTCCCAACTCTGGACCTAGATTTAAAATTTGGGAAATACTGACTGATATTTGAAGGTTTGAAAGAATTTGTCCATAATGATTGTTTTTCTCAAATTTAAAGCAAAAAAGCGGGACATCTATGACAAATACGGCAAAGAAGGATTAAATTCTGGAGGAGGAGGTATGTCTATGAATTATCTCTTTGGGGACAGAGGTCTTAACAAGCCATCTGTGTTTGTTGAGTTCATATGATTAGTACCTGTTAGTCAGTACAGATTAGCCTAGAAAGTGGTAAATTTGGGTAGACATGGAGAAATGCTTATAGTCTTAGCACCTTGGGAGGCTGAGGCAGGAAAGTGCTGTGAATTGAGATCCTGCCTGGTGGGTTTCACACCCTGTATGATTATAGTCCTTGTGTGCCAGGTCTTGCCTCCTTAAAGAAATAAAAAAAATAAAACAAATAAAAAGACCGGAACCAAAAGAGATTTAGACAGGAACTTTGAGAGTTCAAGGCCAGCCTGCTTCCTTTGTATAGTGAGACCTGTTTAAAAAGGTGGTGCTGGGGGCCACATGTTTGTCAAGTTAGGATGTTTATTTATGTTGAGGTATTTGTGGTGAACCTATTTGGGTTTAAACTGATAAAAATGGTGCTGCTTCATCATGGTCCTTAGAATTCTTTCTGTGACCTAATGTGACATGTTGTATGTAAAGAGAAATTATAGTGAATGTATTATCGACTTTCATAAGCCTTTATAATCAGTGACAAAAACAGAGGGCAATGATATAATCACGCTTTGGAGATGCAAACAGGACTGTAGACAGATTGGGAGAGAAATAGGGCTAGAGATCTGAGCACTCATGGCCAGTGCTATATGCAAGTGCATCTAACATAAAGAAGGCTATGGCTTTTAGAATCCCAGATGTGTGGAATATGTTCTCTTTTAGCCCATGAAGCATACAATGATTTATAAATAAACATTGCTTAGAAATGCCAGAATTGATAGGCTAAACATACTTTACTGTGCTTGTACAGGTGGAAGTCATTTTGACAGTCCATTTGAGTTTGGCTTCACATTCCGGAATCCAGATGATGTCTTCAGGGAATTTTTTGGTGGAAGGGACCCATTTTCATTTGACTTCTTTGGTAAGTGACTACTTTTGTCTGGCCTGGTGAGGGCTTGTGGTTGTGGTGCCCTTTGCATTTAACACTGTGTCGTATTACTAACCTTTATCTTTACAGACCAGTGGAATCATCACATATTTTCTGCCAACCTTTTCAGAACTTTCGAATTTGTGACTTCAGAAATAAAAGAATTTGGTGTATTTTTCCCCTCTTCCATGTGTATTGTTCTATCCTAGTTTTGGGGACAGGACAGGATGTTGGAAATCTGATCTTAAAATGTTTTATCTTTTAAGAATTTTTATTTCTTGCTTTTGGTACTGAGGATTTGAACCCGGGATCTTGGATATACTGACATTTTCTAGCACTGATATACCAGCACTCCAAAAGTTAGTTATGTGTGTATTTGTGAGTTTGTGAAATTCACTAAGCATCATAGATGCTGTTCAGAACATACAGGTTCCATAAACAATACCCTTTTCTGTTACTGCAGCCCACTTAGAGTTGTGAAGAGAGTATGCATCTAGAGCAAGGCAGGCGGGAGTCAGGAGGGTGAGGGTGATGTTGTTAAGGGATATATGGTCTTGAGTGATTAGTTGTTGGATTGTGGGGAAATAAAACCTCCCATCTCTTGCCTTTGGTTTGATGTTCGACCGTAGACTCTTAGAGGGTTTGTGCACAGGTGCCTTTTCCACATTTTTATTGTCAGTTACTAGGGATGTTTCATATTGCTGAGACCTATTTGAGTGTTTGACCTGGGAGGTTGGGTTGAACGTGCTGTTGCTGCATCTTTTTGTCCGGGTGCACTGAGAGGGAAACACATCCTGTGTGGCTGAAGAGACTCGAGCATCACCAGCACTTCCCCATGAGGAAAAAAGACAATTGTGTCTGCCAGTAATACCAGAGGGAGACAGGTGGGAGCCCTGAATGTCATGATGTTATGGGTATGAAGAGGAACACGTCACCCTGGATCTGGTAGGTCTTAGACTGCGCATGGTGTGATACCGTAGTTAATCTCAATGCAGGTGTGTGTGTGGGTGTGTGTGGGTATGTGTGGGTGTATGTGTGTGTATGTGTTCGTTCGTTCCTTTTTAAGTGAACTTTAGTGCCTCTCCTTGAGAAAAAGAATCTGACACGCTAGCCTTTGGACAGTTTTTCCTATAGAATAAAGCTCTTTTTTGGGGTGGGGGTGTTGTTGGTTTGTTTGTTTGTTTTTTGAGACAGGTTTTCTCTGTATTTGGAATCTGCCCCGGAACGTACTCTGTAGACCAGGCTGGCCTCTAACTCAGATCTGCCTGCCTCTGCCTCCCCAGTGCTAGGATTAAAGGCATGTACCGTCACCAACTGGCTTGGAAGAAAGCTTTCAATTAGATAAGCTTAAGTTTTTATCAGTAGTGCAAGAATGTACTAGGCTTGCTGAGATCTGCTCAATCTCAGGTATGGCTCAGGTAGGCACTCCCTCCCTGCATTGCCGTGATGAGTATGGCAGTGATACTTCTTCAATCCATTCTTGTAGGTCTTCTAGGGGACTTCCATTTTCAGGCAGTAAGGATTTTCGCACAGGAAAAGAAGCTGCTCCATGGCTACTACGTGTATGAGGTGACCGTGCAACCTGCTGGTGGTATGTGGAGTGTAGACTGGGTCCTTCATGCAGGGCTGGGGGACCTAGTGCATGGTCAGCAGCGTCCAGAGCCCTTGTAAACCCTTCCTTTCTTTCTTTTTTGGGGGTCGGGTTTAGAGACAGGGTTTCTCTGTGGCTTTGGAGGCTGTCCTGGAACTAGCTCTTGTAGACCAGGCTGGTCTCACAGAGATCTGTCTGCCTCTGCCTCCTGAGTGAGTGCTGGGACTAAAGACATAAGCCACCACTGTCTGGCCCCTATCCATTTTTCTGTCTCTCAAAAAGTGATTTTTAAAGATTTTGTTTTAAAACATAGTCCAGGCTGTCTCTGTATTCCTGGTCAGCTTTCCAAGTGCTGGGATCACACAATGACCTGTTGTAAGGCATTGTTGAGCCACACACTGTGCTCAATATTTTCAGGTCTTTTACCTTAGTTATGAGATGGGGTCCTCATATTCAAAGACCTGGAGCAGGAAGATGCTCTGGGATCTGCAGAAGCTGAAATACTTCCTGTGATGAGCCACTTTTTCAGGAAGGCCTGTCCCCTATAGGCAGTTTCCACAAGGTGCTCAGCAGTGGAGGGGGATGTAAATGGAATGTTGAAGCTACCTGGCCTTTACATTTCCCAGAATATGGATCTCACCCACATAGGAGCCTTTCTTGAAATGTTGATTGAAAACAGGATGTGTATGAATTTGAATTAGGATGATCTCTTCATGTGTTTACTCACTCAGAACAGCATTACTTGTGTCCTGGTTATGTAATCCTGGTAGTGTAAGACCGACAAGTACCCAGCTGTGGGCTTTTGATTTTTATTAGTCATGGCAGGAAGTATCTCTTAGAGAACTGTGTGGGTTTAACACCACATTTTATTTTTGTTCTCACTTTGGAATGCCCAAACTGCCTTTGACATTGTTGGTAGAGGGTCTTTTCTCTCTCTCCCTTGACCACTTAGTATGGTTTTTCTTTCTTGTGAACTCTGGGGAAGGAAGTAGTAGGCCACTGGAAAAGCCCATGGTGAGGAGAACCTTGGGAGGACACCTTTTGGGGGAGGGTGATTGTGTGGAGGGTAATTTTTCTGAGCCATAAATTTAATGTAGTGAGTCAGTCATTTTACTCCCTAGGATTCGAGGAAGTGGCCAGTGAGGACTTGGAGCCTAGTGAAGAACTAGACCAGCCCTGTTTTGAGGAGTCAGTAGAAGACGCCCTGAGTGACGAGCACAGTGAGGTTTTGGATGTGATATCCAGTGAGGAGCTGGACCTTAGTGAAGATGAGTCAAGTGAAGGCTGTAGCTGGGGCCAGGGCGGACTTCTCAGTGAGGACCTGGACCTCGTCTCCAGCGAGGAGGAAGCCAGTCTCGGGGATGCGGAGGAGCTCAGCGAGGAGTATGAGGAGCTGCTGAGCGAGGAGGAGCACAGTGGGCCGGAACCCGAGGCGCTGCTTGTTCAACAATAAACAAAAAGGAATGGCCTGGGTCTCTGTTTTATATAAGAAGGTTTATTTTATTTAAAGAGTATATAGAATAAAGAGAAATTGCTTTTTATCACCACCATGTTGTATGTGGTCAGATTCCCAGAGTTGACATGAAAATCAGGGAGGGTAGAGGGCCCAGATGCCCCAGGCCAGCCCTCTTTGTAGGATGGCTGGACTAGCAGCCCAGGTAGCACTGGGCTGCTGTAACAAAGTACTCAGTCCTAGTGGTTTTAAACAACAAACTTCTCAGTGCTGCAGGTCCAAGGTAAAGATATGCTAAGGGCCCCTGGGAGCTGAGGTAGATATGACAGCTTTCTAGTGACTCTGCATACCATCTCCACACCTAGTTTCTCCTGTGACCACTGATGATCCCTGGCTCATGAGTTCATTTGATCTTGATTACTTTAGGGAGCTGCTAGTTAAAAAAACAAACATCTTTTGAGATTACTCAGACTTTTTGCAGCTGCTTAGGTTTAAATCCTAGTCTTATGCAGTTTGGGAGCTGGTAATAAACTTAGAAGTAGAAAATCTTGAAACCTGGGGATATTAGAAGAGTTGGAAGTTAGAAAAAAGAGTAATTCAGAGATCAGAGTGGAAGTGACAAAATGGATGGCTTAATACTGCATGTGGGATGATTACATCTCCAGCTTGATCACAAATGCTCTTAATTGGCTTAAGAACAAAAGTACTCTGTCTCCCCAGTGGGATTTGAAAGAAAGTAGTGGATATAAGATTTAAAGGTGTATAGAAACATGTTCTACCATTTTCCTTCTAGCTGGTTACTAAAATGCAGCAGCTTGTCTGTGTCTTTCACTAGCTTTCTTGCTTGTTCTTAAAGGAAAATGGACTGTGAGGTGTACAGGCCACATTAAATTAGAGATTGATGTTTAACTGCGAGGATGGAGACTGGTGATTTCTAACTGGAATGAATGAACTGGGTAATTTAAGAGTGCTGAAGTAGAGGATGTGCTATTTGAAGTTTTTGAGGCCTGTGTTCTTTGCTGCAGGAGCCTGACACTTGACCACCCCACAGTGTTCTTGAGGGTCTCATGTACTTTTTGAGATTTTTTTGGTAGCATTTCCCATTTAACTCCCCCCCCCCCCCCCCAAACCGGCGGGGGGGGAACAAAGAAATCTTGGAACATTTTTTTTTTTTTTTTTTTTTTTTTTGGAGACAGGGTCACTCACACGTTAGCCCTATCTGGCCTGGAATTTGCTATCTGGCCTAGCTTCAAACTTATTAGCCTACCTTTGCCTCTTCTAAGTGTTAACAAAGGTAAGGGGTGAGCACCACAACTGGCCTAGTTGGTATACTTTTATGTTGCACTCGTGGCCACAGACAGCTCACAGGTGGGCATCTATGATGCTGTCCTTGGATAAGAAGAGCATTGTCTTGCTCTTAAGTTTATCTTGGGGAAGATAAGCAGCAGGTTGCGTGATAGAGCAGTTAGCACTATCACTAAATACCGAATTGTCATATCAGAGCAGAAAGGACCCTCTCCATCTCTAAACAGAGCCACTGTGTCCTAGTGTGTTTCTTCTAGGGGCAAGTTCTGAGATAATCCATCTCCAGGGCTCCTCATGAACTGCACTAATTGAAAGTGACAGAGGACTTGACATACTTGACTTCTTTTACCTAGCATTTGTCTCCAGGGTTAGTGTGGCTCCTGGCTGGTTTTCATTTCTGTTAATTCCATGCTGTTATTTTCTACTCTTGAAATGTAAAAGATACCACTTGAGAAAAATTGTAGTTGTAATGAGTAGCCACTTTAATTTCAGCTATTAGGCAGTGGGGTTAGTGTTTGCCTTGTGTGTCTCCTTAGGATGGCTGGCTGTGTTTATTTTTATTTTATGTGCATTGGTGTTCTGCTTGTGTGTATGTCTGTATGAGGGTGTCAGATCGTTTTGAGCTGTGAACCGAACCCAGGACCTCTGGAAGAGCAGCTAATGTTTTAAACCTCCGAGCCATTCCTGTATTTTTCTTCTATTTTTGTTTGAAACTAGTTTTACAATGCGGCCCTTGCTGGCTGAGAATTTATAGTAGTTCTTTTTCTTCCCTACCCCTAGGATTAGGGGCATGTGTAACTACTGAGCAGTCTGGGGTGAGGGAGGTCCCAGTGAAGTGCCCAGGCTGTCTCTCAAGTGCTGGGATTTTAGGCCTAGGCTACTGAGTAGTACTGGTAATTTGGTTTCAAAGTCAATCACACAGAATGTTAAGATGTTGATGGTCGCGCACCCCCCCCCCTTTGTTTTGTTGGCTTTTGTATTTGGCTGTTGATAGGGAAGGGAAGCACAGGGATGGAGTGTTTGGTCTATGAGACAGTAGGACATTCTCCATGCTGTGTGAGCTGTGTTGAGTGCCTGGCTTTGCTTCTGAGTTTTCACTGGCAGGATAATCAGATTCGAAGCTAGCAAGCAGCCTTGTGAAATTTGCAATTTGAGTGTTTCATCACTTCCTTTAGGCTTTTTGTTATCTTTTCTGCCCCCCCTCTCCCTCCCTCCCTCCCTCCCTCTCTCTCTCTCTCTCTCTCTCTCTCTCTCTCTCTCTCTCTCTCTCTCTCTCTCTCTCTCTCTCTCTCGTGTATGTGAGAATGTGAGTGTGTGAATGTGGTGTGTAATAGGGATCCCCCTCTTAGAGATATTTTTATTAGTTACTGTAGAGTGCTAGTTTCTTCAGTGTCAGAAAACAGGACCATACAGTTTCTCCTTAAAACATTTTTAAAATTTCATACGTATATATGTTTGCCTGTGTGTATGTGGGTGCATGCCTGGTGCTCATGGAGGTCAGGAGAGGGAGTCTAATCTCTTGTGTCTGAAGTTATGAATGGTTGTGAGCCACAGCATGTATGTGGGGGCGGGATTGATCTCTTTGAGTCCTCTGGAAGAGCAGTCAGTGCTCTAACCTGCTGAGCCATCTCCAGCCCCTCTTATAGTGTGTGTGTGTGTGTGTGTGTGTGTGTGTGTGTGTGTGTGTGTGTGTGTTTTGGCTTTTTCTGTTAGAGGTCAAGACATGCAGTTTTCTCTATCCACCTTGGTAGTTCCTAGGATTGCATTCATGTTGGCAGGTGTCTTTTTCCACTGAGGCGTCTTAGCAGCCCTGTTTTGTTTTTATTCTTTGAGATAGGGTCTTATTATGTAACAACCCCAGCTGGCTTCAAACTTGTGATCTCACCAGTTCCTGATTGCTATTAGAGGATAAATGTATTCTAACATTGTAAGTGAAACACCATATATTCTGGTACTTCATGGAATGAAACACATACATAGCCTAGCAAGTGCGCCATCACTGAGCTACACTGTAACCCTCAAATAATCCAGATTAAGTGATTAAGGAAAATTAATTGCAGGTTACATCCTTTGAGTTTAGTATAAACTAAACAATAAAGAAACAATGAAAATCAGACCACTAAATAAAACTTTAACCTTTGCAAAACAAAGACATAGTTGGGGTGGGGCAGAAGATGGCTTAGCTAGTGGAAGCACTTGCTGTGCTTAATTAAACACAGCCATGAACAACAAACAGTAAAGGTGGAAGGAGAGAACTGACTCCAGAGTGGTCCTGTCTGTGACCTTCACATGCCTGCTGTGTTAGTATCCCCACTCCAATTGTGTACGAAGACATACTTTCAATGATTTCAGAAAATACATTAATTTAGCTTGGTTAGTTTGAGATTAGCTTTGAAGAATTTTGTTTTACGGATGATGTGGTTTGACCCCAGTTTGCCAATTTTTACATAGTGTGTTTTTGATGCTTTTAATTGTGAAGACAATCAGGGTATCAGAGTCTTAGGCTGGCTTCAAACTGGGCTATGTTGCCAAGGATGAACCCGAACATCTAGTTCTGGGTTCAGAGTTGCTGGGGATGAAACCCAGCCATTTGAGATACCTTTCCTCTCCCTCTCCCCCCTCCCCCCTCCCCCTCCCTCTCTTCCTTCCCCCCCTCTCTCCCCCTCCCCTTCACCTTCTCCTTCTCCCCCCCTCTCTCTCCCTCTCCTTCTCCCTCCCCTCCTCTCTTTTCTGACAGGGTCTTACTATGTAGTCCCAACTAGCCTCTAATTCCCTACCTCTGCCTCCCAAGTGCTAGGATAACAGTGTGTCTACCATACTGCCTTGGGATTCTTTTGTTCCTCAGTTTGGGCATTATAAATACACTAATTGCTTATCCATGCTGCAGGTCTTCTGTCTAGGAAACTTCGGTGGTATACATACTTTTGTTTATTGGCTGCCAATCAATTTGTAAGCCATTTAGTAAATGAAATGGCCTAAGTTTTATTTGTAATTTTTGTAGTTACTGGAAAAAATTGCTTATTTGGGTTTTTTTTTTTTTTTAAATGATGGAAGAATAGGAAAGAGTCTGAACAAAGGGTGGAGAGATGACTCAGTGATGAAGGGCTGGGCCATACAGTATCACAGTACTCGGGGCAGACAGCTCACGTCCAGTTCCCTCTTGGCTTCTAGGCACTATACCCAAATGAACAAACCCATACAGAGACATACACTTAGAAATTTAAAAACATTCTGTTTTCAAAGTACATAATGAACCCCATAAAAGATGACATCTCTCAGTCATAGCTCAGACAACAGTATATTTCATTTGTTTACCATGTATTATTAAATCTTCTAGCCTTGAGCTTGGGGCACAGCAGGTCCGTTTGGTGAACACATCAAGTTCCTTTCATCGAACCACTGCCAAACCTTGGAAGTAGCTAGCCAGGGCTATTTGATGACATGGACGGTTGTCCTGTTTTCTTCGGACTCAGCTTTAGGCAGAGCTGCCTTGCCAGTTCTATGCAGAATAACCTTGTCCAGCTTATACCTTTTCTCTGGTCCCCGTGGTTCACTCTTGATCGTAGCCTTTTTGAAGGAATGCTGTTCTGGAACCAGGGCTCACTGGATTGTTGTGTTCATCTGACAGCAGGTAGACTGCCAGTTCTCGATTTGTTCTCTCTTGTCCTTGTGTCATTTATGAGTCTGATATCCTTCTGTATGCATTCATTTGTTTTTAAAAGTATGTAGTGTATCATTCTTTACAGATTTCCCATTTTCCTAGGGGAAATGAAAACACTAAGGTAAGTTTAAAAGGCAGTAGTTATAAATAGTATGTTGTTAGCTGCCATAATGAAAAACTGAACTTGCCGCTGACTTTAGGTACCCTTGACTGTCCTGGAACTCCTATAGACCAGGTTGGCTTTGAACTTAGAGGTCCTCCTGCTCTGCCTCCCACATGCTGGTATTAAAGGTGTGTGCCACCATGTCTGACTGTTTAATCCTTTTTTTTTTCAGGAGCATCATCATGTTGTCAGTTAAATGATTGTCATTTGTCCCAGGCAGAGTATTTCAGATTCCACTGGTCTTATAAAATTTTAAGATTGTTGTGTGTTCCTATGAGTGTTGTGCCTCCCTGTGTTGTATATAACTTGGGTACTGCCCCTGGAGGCCAGGAGAGAGTGTGGGATCCCCTGGAATTGGAGTTGAGATGGTTGTCAACCTCCATGTAGGTGCTGGAACTGAACCTGTATGAATAACACGTCTGAGTCTACTTTCAAGCCTTATCTTAAATTTAAAAATTTCTGAGCCATCACATTGAACAGAAATGGGAAACAAATTACAGATTCTTGGGACAGCTTCATCAGGCTCACTAGCAGTTAACATTTACCTGTTGCTTTTTTGTCTTGGAATTTTGCAGACCAGGCTTGTCTGCCTCAGTTATAATTAAAAGATTGGTTTCCAGGACTCAAGTCAAGCATCTCACTACTGTCTTTAACTTGAGCTCCGTGGTGACTAGAGCCTATTTGTATACTGAGCAAAAAAAACTGTTAAGTAGCTCTGTGAAGGCTGGATAAAGAGCCAGGTGTATATGGGTGTACCGTTCTCATTATGGGTCTGGTTATTTGCTTTGTAGCATTGGGCTTTATTTGAATGATACCATTAAGTGAAAGTGTTGGGCATGTGCTCCAGACCTGTTAAGAGCTCTTAGTAAGATGTTTGTTTCTAATGGACTGATTGATGTGTATCAGGACATTAACCCATTTTTCTTCTCCTATGGAAAAAAATATGCTTGAAATTATTTTTGTAACACAGCTTTTCATTTGTTTCTAGAAGACCCATTTGATGACTTTTTTGGGAACCGGAGGGGTTCCCGAGGAAATAGAAACCGAGGTACAGGCTCATTTTTCTCTGCCTTCAGTGGATTTCCTTCTTTTGGAGGTGGATTTCCTGCTTTTGATACAGGTATTAAAGCCTTAGATTGATCAGTTTGAACAAATCTTTTTGCTGGCACATTTTGAGTTTGTAGGGGTCTAGGCAGGTGGGTCTCTTTGTTTGGAAATCTATTTCCTGTCTTTAGGGCAAGTGTGTAAGATGGTCAGGGGCTTTATGTAGACAGGTATGAAGGTAATGCCTATAATCTCATGTATGACACTGGATGCCAGTTGAGGAAGATTTCCAAGTTTGGGGTTTGTAATGGCATCCTGTCTCAAAATAAGAAAGCCATCCCACCATTATGGGAATGTGGGGCATGTAGTTTCCCCTTCATTAAGGTGCTCATAAGGTGTGGCCCCAGCAGTGAAGTACATGCCGGATTTTCAAAAGTCTGTATATAGAAAACAGACTTTTTCCATCTTGAAAAAAATTCTATTGTTGTATATGAGTACTTGGGCATATGCATACCACTGTGTGTGTTTGTAGCCCAGAGGGAGATCTCTGGGGCTGATTTTTCTCCTTCCACAATGGTTCTTGGTATGAAACTAAAGTCATCAGGTTTTAATGGCAAGATTTTTTCAGCTGATAAATGATGCATCTGGTTGGCCCTAGTGGTTCTCTACCCATCGCTTGCAACCCTGGAGTGTGTCAACTAATCCTTTCCCAGGGGTCACCTAAGACCATTGGAGAAATCAGATGTTCATAACTAGCAAAATTACAGTTATGAAATAGCAACAAAATTAATTTTATGCTTGGGGGTCACCACCACAGGATGAGGAACTCTATTAAAGGATTGTAGCATTTGGAGGGCTGAGAATCACTGCTCTAGAGAATCATTAGTAATAATATTTTGGGCAAAGTAAACAAAATACTGAGATTTCATTTTTGATGTGGGCTTCAAAAATGTAAGTGTTAGACTCCCAGCACTCATTTCCTGTGGCAGCCTTATTGTGTAAATGATTGAGACGTGCTTAGGAATATGAGCTGCTTTAGTGTGAACATTTAAGAAACAGGAAAAGTACTGAGGTCTTTAACAAAACCAAACCTCATATCAGAAAATAGGTATGCTTTGTTATCTTGTAAAAATTAATAGTTCTTACAACCCATAGTGTAATCATGGTATGATTCAGAGCAGTGTGCACATGCTTACTGTAAGGGCATGATTTCTCAAAGATAATTATACTGTTCATAAAATTGTTGTAAAGTTTTTATTTTATGTAAATGGGTGTTTTGTCTGCCCTGGAAAAAAAGTGGCTTTTGCTATACAGTAGTGATTCTGGTGATGGCCATGCTGTTCAGACAGTGTCTGCCACTCCAGATCTGTCTGTAGACTATAATGGTCTTGCATTAATGGGGATCACCTGCCTCTTCCCCCCACTTGGTTGGATTAATTTGTGTCACCATTCCAGGACCTTGACATTGCTCTTTAAAGCAGCTTTTGGATGGTGGCGTGATGTTTAAGCCAGGTGGTGGTGGTGGCACACTCAGTAGGAAGAGGCAGGTGGGTCTCTCTGAGTTCGATGCCAACAGTTGCCAGGGCTGTTACAGAGAGAAACTGTGTCTCAAAAATGTTTTAAATTACTTGTGTTTGTGTGGACGCTTGCTGGGCAACACATGTCCTGGATGGAGATGGAGAGTGCAGTCAGTCTCATACCTCGTGGGTCGGGCATCAAATTCAGGCCCGATAACTAGTACCTTAACCCACTGAGTCATCTCACTGGCCCTCTTGGAGGCTTAATAAGTTTTGAACTTAGTAATTTTTGCATGAATACTTGAGAAGTATGCATTTTTTTGAAACTATGTTCTGTTTCTCTATAGGATTCACTTCGTTTGGGTCACTAGGGCATGGGGGTCTCACTTCATTCTCTTCAGCATCATTTGGTGGCGGTGGAATGGGCAACTTCAAATCAATATCAACTTCTACTAAGATTGTTAATGGCAAAAAAATCACTACAAAGAGGTATTTATTTATGAATTCATTAGTTTACTGTTGAGGTAGTGAACTCACCTAGAACAGGAACTTATCTCAATCAGGCTGGCCTCAGATTGAGAAAGGGAGAGGGAGAGGGAGGGAAGAGGAGAGGGAGGAGAGGAGAGAGAGACTGCTTCTGCTCTTTGTTCAGTCAAGATCTCGAATTTCTTGACTTTTCTGCCTTTTATGATTACAATAATGTGGTTAGAAGTTTGGGATACCACTATTGTGCTGTTGCTTGAAATGTAGGACCTTGCCTAGAATAGGCAAGTGTCCTATAAACTGAGCTATATCTCCAGCCCTTACTATTTTTCCACTTAAAAGTTGTTTTAATTTTATTGAGGCTTGGTAGAACTGGACGACCTTGAACAACCTCTGTCTTGCTGACGTTGGGTTGTGGTCCTTCACATCACTTAGTGTTTTTTCTTAGCCACCAGAGTCTGATGGCATAGTGTTTCATGTGCTTGCTGTGCACAGCTCCCAGAGCAGGGCCAAGTTTCTACTTCAGCTAAAGGGTTAAAACCTTTTGCTTTCAATATTTGCTCAATGTTTATGTTGAGGCATGCCAGTATGTGGTTCTGTGTGATGGGTTTTCCTGGCATTGTCAGTGTTGCAAAGGGAAAGTGGCTCTCTGAATAGGAAAACTCTAATGGTGGAGTTGGGCTGGAACCCAGGATCCAGGTGCTGTGCTATTTAGCCCTACCCCAGGCCCAGCCCTACACTTTGTGGTTAGTAACATTTTGCATATAGTTAGTAGACAGATTTATAGTATTTATAGAGTCTAAACTTAATTTTGACAGGACAGGAATTAAAAACAAAAAAACAACTCTTGAGGTGAATTTTTGAGCTTTGTTTTCATGGGCCTGTTCTATAAATACTCATATTTTATAATAGTATGAAAGCTTTTTTTAATGCTTCTAAGGACTGAGCCTAGGGCCTTAAGTTTGCTAGGCAGACTCCTCCTATATCCCAATTGAATAGAGGTTTCTAAATGAGTTATTTTCTTACAGAATTGTGGAGAATGGTCAAGAAAGAGTAGAAGTTGAAGAAGATGGACAGTTAAAGTCCTTGACGATAAATGGTAAGGAGCACCTGCTATGCTTGGATAACAAGTAATTCAACGCCACATTTCACAGAAATGTTAAAACCATAACAAGCACCATTTGAGGAATAACAGGAACTTTTTTTTTTGAAGATTTCAAACGAACTCGACTTTCTGTATAACTGTACCTAATCTAAAGTATTTATAAAACAGCTCATCGGAGCCCCTATTTGTCATAGACTTTTGAGTTTGTTGTTGGGGCTACAAAATAGGACCATTTTTTTGTCTTTAAAATTGTTGTAATATCTGTATGCACTTTGCTTTAAACAAAACAAGACGTAATCTGAGGTGAGCCCTGTGACTCTTGAGTAGTGCTAGGACAAGATTGTTCTTTGACACCAGCATGGATCTGCTTCCCATTGTGTTGAAATGTGAGTGAGTAGTGTCAGCCTGCTGTGACATTAACATTGCCAGATGAAACCTCTACAGAAATATTTCAAGTTTATTTTCAGTATTTAGTAATGAAAGCTATTACTGCATCAATGGTAACACATTTCTGGTTTAGTGTAAATTAAGGATGTTTTCTAGTTGTGCATGGATGCTGGCAAATTCGTCAGTTCTGACAATTGTTTAAATATGTAATGTTAAGCTTAGGTTTAAAAAAAATCTGGTAATTTGGGTCTTTGTCATTTGCTTTAAAAAAAAAAAAAAAGAAAATAAATGCGAATGTGTTTGGTGCATTCTTTCACGAGTGGGGTCTACAGCCTTCTTGTGTCTGTGTGATTTTGTGCCTGGGCTTCTAGTGCCCTTTTTGTGTTTATTTCTATCATCAAGGTGGATTCTGAGTGGAAGTTACATATAGACCTGTCTTCAGTGTATACAGAGAATGTATGAAGATGTGTAAATAGTGACCCAATAATTTAGTGTGGTGTGTGTTGGGGGGGGGAGGTGCGGCGGCGCTCAGATTATATGAAGACCTGTGTAAATAATGAGCAACAATTTAGTGATTTGTTGATGGGGGGCATTCTGGGGATTGAATCCAGAGCTTGTTGTATGCTAGACAGGCAGTTACCACTGATACCCTCATCCTTGTATTTTTGAAATATCTTCTAAGCAGCTCAGTCTAGTCTTGAACTCTAGATATTCCTGCTTTTACCTAAAGTGCTGGGATTATAGTCATGCTCCGTCATGCCTTGCTATTACAAGTCTTAGTATAACAGTTTGTGTGAGGAAAAGAAACTGGTCCAGAAGTTTTAATTGAAAACTCCATTGTAGTTTAGGGCACTGTGCATGGAACATCATGGTATAATTAAAGAACTTATCTTGTTTTTCAGTCTATAAAAATAGCCTTTAGTTACAACCATTCTAGCTAAAAGTTATGTGACTTTAAATGAAACCTTACATTTACCCCCGCCCCCACCCTATTTAATAAGTGAGTAGTGTGTAGATACTGATTGTTGTAAAAATTTCTCCTGGGACTGTAAGGACTCTTGACACTGCCTGGAATAGCCATTTTACAAACTTTCATAGGAGAGAAGGAAAGTTTTTAATCTTAAAGTGCATAGCTAACATGAATGATCTAAAAATGGCAGAGGGTTAAGCACTTGGACATGTGCTAGGAGAGAGCAAGGTGTTTGTAACTACAATGCCCTTGGATAAGGTGGGTATGCAAACACACTGCAAATCTGAAGACAGTGGGCGTCTGTTGTTTTACTTCCCAAATAATTTGTGATCAGAAAGCCTTAAGTACATCATGTGGGTATTTGGAAACAGGATGAGACAGAAGCTCTGGTGTCGCCTAAGGATATGGGAATGAAAAGGAGACCACAAGTGCTTGTCCTCAGTTTTGTATTTGCATATGGTTGAGTGCACTGGGATGTTGGGAGCATTGGAGGTCATGCAGCTGTGCTAGGGCCCAAAGACGATTGTTTGGGCGGGGTGGGGGGCACGGGCGGCATATGGACCAGTGCTTGATATTTGCACTTGATAGCTGTTGGTCTGTCTGTCTGTTCCTCTGTTGCTGGCTATGCAGCTACACAATCTACTTGTTAAACTAAATCTGCTTCCCAGAGTGGACCACACTTTGCAAGGGTTTGAATTGCTGTGTGGTGGTGGTGTTATTCATCAGTGACTTGATAATTGAAAAAGGTCCCTTTGCCTCCTTGAAAAGGAAGTTTCTCTTTAGTGTTTGGTCTTAGAAAATCTGACTGAAAGCTTGTTGAGGGTATGCTCAGTTTCTGTTCAAGGCCATCCTCAGAAGCTGGCTACTATGTGCAGAGTCCTTGCATAGGAGGTGCCTGTGTTCTATAAATTTCTTTTCCCCACAAATTTTCTTCTGTGCCCCCCAGCTTGGTTTCAGTCAATGTGGTGAATGATTATTCTCTGTGGTGCTTTACAAAAGTTCTAGGACTGCTTCTGGAGCTGAGTACAAACAGTAATATTAAGTGGATTTACTTGTGGAAAAGTTAAGAGCAGATTTCAGTAGCACTGTGTAATTAAACTGGTCATACACCAGAGTTCTCAGTCTGTGTGCCTACACTGCTAAAGTGTGCGTGCAGTACATCCAGGTACTCAGGTTTGAGGTGCAGTGCGATGAGCCTCTTGGCAACAACTCTAGTTTTATTCAGTGTGTGTGTGTGTGTGTGTGTGGTCTCTTGAGGAATATTATCTCTTCCAGAATTCTCATATTCTCTCTCTCTCTCTCTCTCTCTCTCTCTCTCTCTCTCTCTCTCTCTCTCTCTCTCTCTCTCTCTCTCTCTCTCTGCCCCCCCCTCTTTTTTTGGTGTGTGTATGTTGGGGGTGATGATGGTAGAGAAAGGGACTTGTTCAGTAGTTCTACCCTCACCCCCCAAATTTTGGGATGATCTACAGACATGCACTGCCAGCCTCTCTTGTTTTTGTGACAGGTTCTCAAAACAACCAGGTCTACATATATAGTAGTACAGCCTACATAGTTTGGGAACGCAGAAATGTACCTGGCCGACTCTTGAATGCTGGGATTAAAGTGTGGACCATCACTCCCAGCCCTTTTGGGGGGGGGGGTCAAGATGGTTTCTTGGTATATCCTTGGCTGTCCTGGAACTCACTTTGTAGACCAGGCTGACCTCAAACTCATAGAGATCTGCTTGCCTCTGCCTCCCAAATGCTGGGATTAAAGGCAGGTACCACAACCGCCTGGCTCCCAGTTTTGTTTTGTTTTTTTTTTTAAGTGTATTGTGGATAGAACTCAGAGATTTGGCATGGTGTACCCAAGCTGTATTCCCCAGTCCTCTTCCAGAATATTTTCTCCGATTCTTCTGTTTGTAGTTTAGGTTTTCTGTATTGCTGGGGATTGGGAAGACAAGGTGTCACTATTGCTTAGGTTGGACTTGAAATTCATTGTGTAGCCGATTGCAACTTTCCAGTTGTTTTTATTATAGGCACAAACCACAAACCATAGATTGATCTCCCTAGCATGTACCATCTGCTAGCACAGAATAAATCATAACCTCAACCTCAGTTGTGTAGGGAGTTTGACGACACTGATGTATGAGACCCTGTTTGGGGTGAGGAAGAAGTGGTGGGGAGTATTGAAATGCCCTTTTCAAAGCTTTCCCTTAAAAAACATTGTACATTCATGTTTGTGTGTGCCTGTGTCTCCATGTGCAGGGTACACATGTAAAAATGAAGTGTGTGTTGTCTGTATATATGCGTGCGTATCATGTGTATGCAGTGCCTGAGGTGGCCAAAAGAGGGCATTTAGATCCTGGAATTGGAGTCACAGACAGATGTAGTGGCTGTGTGGGTGCTGAGAAGTCCATTCTGGTTCTCTGGAAGAGTGGCCAGTGCTTTTAACTGCTGAGCTATCTCTCCAGCTCCCATTCTTGAGTCACAGGCACACACACCCGCACATGCAGACACACCACCCACACATCCCCCACCCCCCACCCACACCCACACACACACTGTAAAACTAATGCCGTACATGTTTAGGTGAGAGTGAGTTTAACATGAAAACTATGGGTGTTTTGCCTACATTTATGTCTTGCATATGTATGTTTGTACTGTGCATGTCTAGTAGCTTTGGAAGCCAGAAGAGAGTGTTGGTTCCCCTGAATTGGAGCTAAAGGAAGTTGTAAACTGCCATGTGGATGCTGGGAATAGAATCAGATCCTCTAGAAGAGTGGGCACTGTAACTTCTGATCCTCCTCTACAGCTGGGGGTTTGGTTTTGATTATGTGTCTCTCTCTGTGTGTATATGTGAGTATAGGGTTAGGCCAAAAAAAGGCACCTGATTCCTTGGAGCTGGAGTTGTAGATGGTATTGAGAAGTTTGCTGTGCGTGCTGGGAACCAAATTCAGATCTTCTGGGAGAATGCCAAATGCTGAGCCATCTCGACAGCTCAGCCCACTGCCGCACTATGTTCTGTTAAAGGCTGGTTTTAGAAAGCATAGTATATAAAAAGTCTCCTTTTCCCAGTTTTGGGGAAAGAAAGTCTTATTGTGTAACCTGTATTGATAGTATATCAAGGAAAAAAAAAAAAAGGCTTCCTCTTAATTGACCAAGAGTGAAGCCAGATTTGAATTCCTCCACTGTTTTCTTGTGTGGCCACTGGCTTATCAGCATGTGTGTCTGTATCTGTCCTGTATCTCCCCACTCTAAAAGGGCTATGCTCTCTATTGAACATTTTTTAAGAGTTTCACAAGGGAAGAAGTTACATTACTGCTCCGAATGAGCAACTAAACTCTAACTCTGGAAGAGCAGATTCATATTCATTCCCCTGCCCCTCCTTTTTCAGACAGAATTTCTCTGTATAAGACGGGCCCTCTACCTTCTAAGGCATGTGCCATGACCACCCAACATTATTTGGTTTTGGGGGGAGATTTTTTTTATTTTTATTTCATATGCATTGGTGTTTTGCCATGGGTGTCTGGAATTACAGGTGGCTGTAAAACTGCCATGTGGGTGCTGCGAATTAAGCCCAGGTCCTCTGAAAGAGCAGTCAGCGCACTTAACCACTGAACCATCTCTCTAGCCCCAAGGGGCAGATTTTTAGCTGC